TCTCAAGATCTCTTCGTTTATTGGTTCCTTTCTACCACAGGCTGTGTAGCTTTGAAATACTCTTGGCGTTTTATTAGGAGTTTATTTGCGTTATCCAGCATCATTTTCTGAGAGGAAATTATTTCTTCTTCTGAGCCTTGGTCGACCAACTTTTTCGAAAGTTGAACAGACGTTTTTATGTTTTCTATACACAGCTTTGTTTCTTCTGCCTTTCTGTCCAACTTTGCTCGTCCAGCTTTGCGAATTTCATCCCCTTTCTTTAAAAGCGTTTTAGTTTTTTGCTCCAACATTCCGGCAAAAGTTTTTTCAGCACGATATCATTCTTTTTTTCAATTTGACTTTTGATATTTTCAGCATCGCGATCAAGTTGTTGTGTCGTCAGCGTTAATCGTTGAAGAAATACATTGCCTTCGAAGCAAGAAGTTCCTTATAGTTGTTCGCTACATCCTTGACGCCGGAGAACACACGAATGACCTTGCTTGACGTGTTTAAAAATTAAAATCCATGCAGTCCCTGCAAATCAGTTGGTCGCAGGTTTCGCAATAAACTTTTAATATCATGTCCGAATGTTCTTTGCAATGCATTTTGTCGTTGATTTTCTTCCGATTCTCTGGCTTTGATAACTTTTCGATCGTTAGAACAGAATGACCGTTGTTGGCTCGGTAATTGTTGTGGCCTGTTAGACATTAGAGAGGGTAAGATACCCCGGTTCCGGTTTGCAGGTACGAGTGATATACACGTACCCGTAAATCGGGGAGCGACTTGCAACTTAAGAAATCCAAGATATTCCGGAGTGAGAAAACCGATCAGAGAATGGTAACTTTCGCTGTTGAGGTTCGCCATAGATTGTTGAACACTTTGACAAGCATATGTGCATGATTTATTTGGGTAAGATGTTGAAAATTTTTACTATTTAAACGGCCAACAAATGGTAAACAAAAAATACCCGTACCCATTTGTTTTTTACGTGTAGACTATGGTTTACCTCGGGGAGGCGGGTAGAAATTACGGGTAAAAATGCTGACATCAGCAAAAATTGGTAAACAAAATGGCGATCTCGTACCCGTAAACCGGAACCGGGGTATCTTAACATCTCTATGTTCGGCATAGGAATTTTTCACAGGTGACGCAGCAATTGGTGACCGTGTAAACAAGGAGTGATAGCTTATATTTGTAAATATTGAAATATTTCGGTTGTTTCGGCAGTTTTTATTGAAATTTTTCAGCATAATCAGCAATATGATACCTTACTTCCCATCATCCCCTGCACGCATTAACTAAAAGCTGGAATTGCCTATTATTCTGTATTTTCTAACTGGATTATTTAGTTAAGACCAGCAATTGTTGAAGGGATTTTAACAGTTTAAATAACGAATTTTTAATAATACATAATTTTAACAAAAGTGTTGGAATTTTTTAAGAAGTACTGAACGTATTCCTGCCGAGTAAATTTATTATGGTTGGGGTGTTGGTGGGTACAAATTTTGCGAAATTCAGTTGTCGTATAGGAATTTCATCTCAGTCACAAATTAAAATGAACCCAGATGTCGTCCTGTAGTAATAGTGCCCCAGTAAAAGATTGGCTTCACTGAAACTGTTCATAGAGGAACACAATTTTAAACAGAACGTAGCCAGGATTTCTAGTCAAAGTGGTGCGGCGAAATTCCAGAAGGGGCCGAAGCAATTTTACCCTGCACTAGTTCAAATACAGTTTGTTTATCATGTGAAAGTGCATTGGGATTCCCACTGAAGTCGGTAGAGTGGCATTTCAGCATCCAGAACATTTAAAATATGGCAAGATATTGATAGAACTTACGAGAAATTAAAATAGAATGCACATACTTTGTTCTGGCCAGAACTTTTCCAAGGGCGCCTTCGCCCCTATTGGCTAAGTCTATGAGTTACCTTGCAGTAAAAAAAATAAAAAATCAGTGTGGTGTAATTGAAAATCCTTGTTGTGTGATTAAATGCGGGGTTCGTCATCTTTATTTGATACCTTTAATAATAGTCAACTAGCTTTTCTCATGCCTTGTGACCAGGTGTTGTCTGACACACTGCGCAGCGAAGCTAGGAGGATGACAACAAGGAAAAGAGTGATTATAATAAATGGTACTTATAAACAATAGCACTGTGTTTTTGCTCCAATGAATTCACTCCTTCGTTTCTTGCTATCTACTCTTCCCTTGCAGTTTGCTACTCAAAAATGGCGGACTCGCGGTCTGGGCGCTTGAGACAATACCATAGAAATAATAGACATATAATGCGTACTCCTATCTTTCAGTTGTCAGTAAAACTTTTGTCTCCACAAAGTGGCCGATTTATGAAGGGCATTTTTCAATTTGGACACCGGTTACGTGACCAAGCACGCATTCTAGGTCTAATATTTCTATGCACAACATTGTGCTCGTCAGCTAACGCGTGGCATACTGCTTAAATATGGTTTTATTGCAAGTTGCACAAATTTGTTGCTCGTATTACTTTTCCACAACTCTTTAAGTACCGTGTCGATAATAGAGACCCTAAGGTTGACCGCTAAGCGCAAGCGGCAAACTTCAAATCGCATTAAATTAAACAAGTTTTCGACAGCTAAGTAGCTAATTCATGCTTCAGTTTTAATGCAACATTACCCTAACTTCGAACATCTCACAGTAGTGACTTAATGTTAATCGGAGCGAGAGACTGATGCTGTTTCTATTACCATTGAAGCATTAAACCATATTGACTATCCATATGCTAAACAGTAAGTGAGTTTCAGTTAATTGTTTTATATGGTCCTACCACAGCAACCCACAAAAGAGACAGATATCACACATTTCTGGGCTGCACATACTGAACTGATTGCAACTGAACAATGCTGTAACAACAGTGTTGACAACTTGTTCTGGAACGGGTTGTTCGTTTTTACGCGTGTATGTATAGATTTACTCCAAGTCTGCCTCCCAAAGGGGTTTTTATTTAGGAGTTTTGAAAGGTGCGCAAAAATGCTATCGGGAGGAATTTTAAGGCTCGCCCTAAAATTGTCCCCACTCGCACTATAGAAATCCCGAAATAATCTTTGAGAGGCAGACTTTCAGCAAGTCTAATATGTGAGTGAAGTAGTCGCCCCGATATAACTATCTTTAGTTTTTGACTTGAGCACCAAGGGCAGTACAGTCTCAGTTGGTGAAACCCACCAATATACTATTAATTAATCGTAGTGTATAAAATTCTTCAAATACATAATACAAGAATCGAGATATTAAGATTCTTGATGTTCAACAGTTCAGTCCAGTTGTTCGTCCAACGCTTTCTCACTTTGTTCATCTGTTGTTATCGACGCCTTAGAATTCTCTGTCGTGGCGGTTTGATCGCCTTCTTTATTTGGTTCTGTGGCAGTAGTAGGTTTATCATTTACACAGTTTTTATTGGACTCTGTTGTTGGCGAGGGACTCCCTTGTCTGGGTTGTTGTGGTTTCGCAGCGGGAGTTGAAAATTTTGCGGCATTTTGACGAGGTCCTGGTCTATTTTGTCTTGGTGGGGGAACAGGAATAGTTCGCTTCGCTTCTTTCAAGTTAGGAGAATTATTAGGCAAGGTGTTGTTGTTGGGATGTTCATGGGTTGAGGTTTGTTTCAAAATCTGGTTTGGGATTGTTTGCTGTTGGTTGTTTTGTGGTTGGTTACTTGGGATCTTTTCTATGGGGTTAGATGGATTCTCACCAAGGGAGTCAGAGGTGTTAGTTGAAGGTGTTTCAGTTTGGTTATCATCAGATGTGGCTGAGTTTGGTGATCCGATGGTAGGATTTTTCGCTGTGCTTTTTTGGCCATTGCTTGGTGGCTGGTGGTTTGTGGTGCTGTCTGGTGGTGGTTTTTCACTATTTCCATCTGGTTGGTCATTTGCAGGTGACCCAACTTTGTTACTGGAGTTGGTTGAGTTTTGTGGTCCGGTGGTAGGGTCTGTAGTTGTACCCTGTTGTTCATCAACTTGTGGTGAGGGATTTATGTTAGTTTCTGATAAGCCCGGTGGTTTTTCACTACGAGATTCTGGCTGGCCATTTGAAACTAATCCAAGTAGGTTGCGTGAAGTGGTTAACTCTTCTGCTCCAGTTGCAGTGTTTGATATTGAACTCTCTTGGTGGTTGACTGGTTGTTGGTGATTTGTGGTATTATGAAGTAAGGTTGGCGGTCTTTCACTTCGGGGATCTGTCTTGTCATTTGAAAGTGATACAAATTGGTTGCTAGGTGTGGTCAAGCTTTCTGGTTTTATAGAAAAGTTTGGAGTTGTGCTCTGCTGGTGGTTCTCTGCTGGCTGGTAGCATGTGGTGTAGTTTAGAGAGCGTTCTGGCATAGCAATTACTTTGGTGTTACACGGTGGAGATGTGCCATCTACGTTTAGTGTTGTATTTTCTGTTCCTGTGGTTGTTTTTGTGCTTGTCCTATTGTGGGCATTGTCTAATGGCCGGGGGTTTCCTGTACTGTATAATGAAGTTGCTGGTTTAGTACTAAAAGAGTCTGTCTTGCTTCCACTGGCATCTCCTTCCATGCTACTTGAATTTGGGGATTCATCCATGAAGCCTGGTGGTGAAAGTTGGGAATTCCTGGTAGGGTCCGTCTCATCACCACAGTGGGATTGCGCTGTGTATTTTGTGTTTGGAGGGTTTCCAAATGGCTGGGAATTGGCAGTGTCATCCGTAATGCTGAGTTGTTTGGAATCTGATGGTTGGTCTTGTCTCGCATTGCCATCAGATTGGCGATGTTGGTTATAACGCGCATTCCCAGGATCCCTTGTCTTATTGTCCTCCCACTTGTCCTCATTTGGCCATTGTTCGGAATCGTTCCTTTTCGTCTGCTGATTTCTTGGGTCTGAGGAGCAATTCATGTTTTGCTGATAAAACTGACTTTCTGATCTAGGATCAAAGGCATGCTCACTGCTCATAAACCCCTGTCGTTCGATTGAATTTGTCGTCCCGTGTAGGTTGAAATTTGACCCACTTTGGTTGAAGTGCGTGATGCCTGGGCTTGGGATGAACGTTGGGGTATATTGGTTTAGGTTTGTGTCACTTCGACTGACTGGCCAATCATCTTGTCTAAAAGTTGTGCCTCTTTGATTGAAACGCGCGCCAGTTTGGTTCATATTCCTGCCACGTTCAGTGAAATGCATGTCACTTTGGTTGATATGTGTGCTACCGCGGTAGATATACATGTTACTGTGATTAAAATTCGTATCGCGTGGTTTGAAAGTTGTGCCATATTGGTTGAATGTCGTGCCAGCTTGATTCATAGCCGTGCCAGCTTGATTCATAGCCGTGCCATCTTGATTCATAGTCGTGCCAGCTTGATACATAGCCGTGCCAGCTTGATTCATAGCCGTGCCATCTTGATTCATAGCCGTGCCAGCTTGATTCATAGTCGTGCCAGCTTGATACATAGCCGTGCCAGCTTGATTCATAGCCGTGCCAGCTTGATTCATAGTCGTGCCAGCTTGATTCATAGTCGTGCCAGCTTGATACATAGCCGTGCCAGCTTGATTCATAGTCGTGCCAGCTTGATTCATAGCCATGCCATGTTGGCTAAAAATCGTGCCAGCTTGATTGAAAACGTTATAATAGTCAACGTTTCTCAACTGTAGATCTTGGCAATGACTTCTCCACTTTAATTTCAGTATCTCCCCAGCACTTACTACTTGGCTAAGGCGTCCTGTTAACATAACTCCGTAGGTTGAGGGTTGACATTGTACCCCACAAGACTTTATGATTACATTAAAAACGTCACTCCAGAAATTCTCTGAAGCAGGAGGTGCAACGGTGTTCATTAGCGCGGGATTAACTGTAGCACTGACCATAGAAAACACTTGGTCGACCTACAATATTAAAAATAAATTGCGGGTTTGTGGAACGAAAGGCTCTGGGCAGATTTAGGTATGAATTGTATTGTCTTTACGAAGCTCTAGCAAATTGGGTAAAGAAAATTTACAAAGGAGTAAACTCAATATAGTTTTTTTCTTATAACGAGGAAGAGGTAGTGAAGACATAAAAGCCGCTGTCCTTTTCTTGTTTTCGCTCCCTATTCTTTTTGGCCTACATTTTCTCAGACTCGAGCATATGCTTGACGTTTGACCGGAACGACTGTCGTGCTAAGTGCAGCAGGACTTCACCGTAACTTTCTTGTTATTTTGATCTGCTTCTCAGCTTCGGAATACATCCTTCCGAAATCCGGAAAGTACTTAGCCTTGCCTTGCCGCTACAGAGCCTCGTTTTCGTGATTAAGATTTCGGCTTTGAACCCTTTATCTTGTCACTGACGACCTAATTATATAAAGGTCTTTTAGATTGTCTATTGCAACTGCATGATTTTGTA